CGCAAAAAAAAAAAATTATGTGATCCTGAAAGTTAATAAGAGCAGTTATAAATTTCAAAATCACAGCTAAGAAAACATCCATGGTCTTGTTAGGAATTTGCTGCCACCTCGATTAGTCTCTTCTTATGTCACAAAGAGGTGACATACAGTTTAGCCACTCCCTGCATGAGTCTACTCAAACACCAACCGGAACAAGTGTTTTATGGCCATGGCGGAGAAATGAGGAGAAGGCTTGATAGCTGCAGCCTTCAGGGGCACTACTTTGTAGTTATATACACAGTTTAACACAGGGTCTGTTTTGTATTGGTGTAAACAACCTTTCAGCAAATATAGGCTGAATAATAGCCTTAGGTAAATGCATTAAAATCATATGCTAATTAGCAATGTGTCCATCTAGCTTTTGTTTATTTAACCATGAGAAGCTGCTGGCTCCGGGTTACAGCATGCTAGTCTGACTAAAGCTATAATACTGAAGAGATATGTCAAGTTAGAGGTGTCACGATAGCTGCGTACTGCATGATATTTGAAACTAAAAGATAAGTGCCATTGATGTACATATAATGTAACTACTTTTTGGTATAAATTTGTAAAGCCCAGTTCAATTCTTCTATTTTATTTTAATTTTATTTCATTTTATTTAAATGTCACCAAATCTCAACAAACGTCACCTCAAGCCTCTGCATATTGCAAAGTAACCTTAACCAGGGATTTACAGCTCTGAGTTTCAGAGGCTCTGCAAAACCCTCTGAAACTCTGCGCCTTAACCTCACGTGCACCACACCAGAAACTGTCGATTCTTCCTGTGCATTTCCGGATACTTCTTCACCACAGTTTTTGAATTGATTAGTAGAGAACAGCAATTAATGCCTCATATATAAGAAAAGATGTTTACAGTACCAGCAAATTCCAAGGGACATTTACAAAAATCAGAATAGATGTGAGGTAGGGCTGGGCGATATATCGAGTTTTTAAAAAATATCGATATATTTTCATACGAGATATAAGATGTGACAATATCCTTTATATCGATATAGTCTATGTT